GTGGCACAATCTTGGCTTACTGCAACCGCCACCTCCTGGGTTCAAGTAATTCTCCTGCCTCAGCCTCCCAAGTAGCTGGAATTACAGGCACCTGCCACCACACCTGACTAACTTTTGTATTTTTAGTAGAGATAGGGTTTCACCATGTTGGCCAGGCTGGTCTTGAACTCCTGACCTCATGATCCAGACCACCTAGGCCTCCCAAAGTGCTGGGGTTACAGGTGTGAGCCACCACACCTGGCCACAATTTACATTTTGGTTATTAATTTTGTTCAGTTTAATTAGATTGTCTTAATACTTATTTCTATTTGGCCTGTTTTCAGGTCCCTTTTTCTCACTCCTTCCTCCTTTTTGGATGGAGTAGTATTTATTATTACATCGTACCCTGGTGTTGGCTCATCGGCTGTCCTTCTTTGTTTTGTGTGTATATGTATGCTGTTGTTGAATGGTACTTTAGGTGTACAATTTCACTTAGGTGTACACATTTAACTCACTTTAGTGGTATACATATTTCACTTATTACACTCTCCCTTCAAATAATACTGGATTATTTTATGAGCAATATAAGAACCTCACCACAATATACTTTCACCTTCCCCTACCCTAGATTTTGGGTTATTTTGTTCTACATTTTATTTCTACCTGTAAGTCCCAAAATACATTGTTATTATTTTTGCTTTAGAAAGTTACATGTCTTGTAAAGAGATCTTTAAAAACATAAAACAAAGTCTTTTATCTTTTTCTGCGTTAAGAGCCATTTTTGGTATTCTTCATTCTTTGGGGTAGATTCAGATTCCTTCTCGTATAACTTTCCTTCTATTTGAAGGACTCCCTTTCACATTTAATTCTGGACTACTGTTGGTGAATTCCCTCTGATTTCAGAGGTCTGAAAAATGCTCTGTTTCACCTCCATGTTTGAAAGATATTTTCGCTGAGTGTTACGTTTTAGGTTGATTTTTTTTCTCCTTTCAATAAAGATGTTGCTCCATTTTCTTTTGGCCTGGGTTATTTCCAACATAAAGTCTGTTGTCGTTCTTTTCTTTGTTTATCTACGTAAAGTGTCTTTTTACTCTGCTTTTACGAGTTTTCAGAATTATGGTTATTAACATGGCTTGGTGTAGTTTTCTTCCTGTTTCTTTTTTCTGCTTAAGGCTCATTGGGGCTCTTGGATCTGTAGATACATTATTTTCATCAAATTTGGAAGAAAATTTGGTTATTATATCTTCAAATATTCTTTTCTGTTCCCTTCCTTTCTCCCTGCTCCCTGGGACTCAGTTACACATGTGTCAGGCCACTTGGTGTTATCCCCCAACTCAATTATCCTCTGTTCATTTTTCCCCCAGTAATTTCCCACTGTTATATGTTGCATAGTTTCAATTGCCATAGCTTTATATTCACTAATCTTTCCTTTTACAGTGTTTAATCTTCTGCTAATCCCATATAATCTGTTGTTAATCTTATCTAATCTAGTGTATTTTTTATCTCGCACATTTTATTTTTTTAACTCTTAAAAGCTCAATTTGGGTCTTTTAAAACATATTCTATTTGTTTCTTTTTCTTTTCTTTTTCATTTTGAGATGGAGTCTTTCTCTGTCACCCAGGCTGGAGCGCAGTGGTGTGATCTTGGCTCACTGCAACTTCCCCCTCCTGGGTTCAAGCGATTCTCATGCCTCAGCCTCCCAAGTAGCTAGGATTACAAGCATGCACTACTATGCCCAGCTAATTTTATATTTTTAGTAGGGAGTGGTTTTCACCATCTTGGCCAGGCTGGTCTTGAAATTCTGACCTCAGGTGATTCAGCCCCCTCAGCCTCCCAAAATGCTGACATTACAGGTGTGAGCCACCATGCCTGGCCTATTTGTTTCTTTTTCGTGTTTGTGATTTTTGCTACCTTCCCGAACATATATCCATTTTACCAACCATTTAACTCATCTATCATCCGATCATTTCTAGAGCTGTTTCATTTTTCTTTTCTTCCTTCTCTGCATGCCTGGTAATTTTTTGTTGGATGCCAGACATTGTCATTTTAGTTTGTTAGGTCCTAGAGGTTTCCTGTTCCTATAAAGGTTTTGGGCCTTGTTCTAAGACACATTTGAGTTACTCAGAGACAGTTTGTTCAATACTTTTTTTTTTTTTTTTTTTTGAGGCAGAGTTTCGCTCTTGTTACCCAGGCTGGAGCTCAATGGTGCGATCTCGGCTCACCGCAACCTCCACCTCCTGGGTTCAGGCAATTCTCCTGCCTCAGCCTCCCGAGTAGCTGGGATTACAGGCACACGCCACCGTGCCCAGCTAATTTTTGTATTTTTAGTAGAGACGGGGTTTCACCATGTTGACCAGGATGGTCTCGATCTCTCGACCTCGTGAGCCACCCGCCTCGGCCTCCCAAAGTGCTGGGACTACAGGCGTGAGCCACTGCATCCGGCCTCCCAAAGTGCTAGGACTACAGGCGTGGGCCCCCACGCCCGGCCTCCCAAAGTGCTGGGACTACAGGCGTGGGCCGCTGCGCTCGCCCCTCAAGACTTACTTTTAAGGTTTGGAGGCAGATCCAGGTCAGCCTTCAGTCTAGGGCTAGTTTGACCCATGACCCAGGCAATAATACCCTTCCGAACACTCTGCGGTCTATCATTAGGAGGTCTCTCTACTCTGGCCAGTGGGAAGATAAACTATTTTCATTCCACGGTGTGATTGTTCTGCCTCTTCCTTTCTAATTGCCCTTTCCTCAGTGATGGCAGTTTCCTCAAGCTTGTGCACGGATTAGTGCTTAGCTAAGGGTTGGAAGAGAAGCCCCTGCAGACCTCTGAAACTCTTTCTCTCTGTGCAGCATTCTCACCTCTGGTGTTCTACACTGTGAATTGTAGGTGTCCTGTGTTCTCTAACTCAGCGTTCCATCTCAGAGACATTGTGGGGCTCTCGATTTTCCTTACTGAGAATATAGCCTGGAAATTCTCTCCAGGGCTGGTCAGAGGGTTTGCTTATGTTCGCTTCAAGCTCATTCTTCTGAACTACCTTTCATCCAGTGTCTGAAAACCGTGGTTTCATATGTGTGCATGTGTGGGGGTGTAAAGTGTAAAGTTGGAGGGTAAATCTGATCCGTGTTACTCAGTTTTATCAGGAAATGGAAGTTCTTAGCTTGACTTCTCAGAGGGAACAGACAAGTGGGCCATGCCTCCCCTGGCATTCCTGCTTTTCTCTTTCCTGCTGTCTGGGATGAAGATGTAATAGCTGGAATTCTGGGATCTTTCTTAGACCAAGAGGTTTTTTGAGTGATGGAAATTACATGCTGAAGATAAGGGAAAATATAGATGCATGGAAGGAGCCAGGGTTCTTGATGAGCTGCCACCCAAGCCCTGGACAGCTTACCTCCCAAACAATTTTACTGGAGAAAATAAATCCTTGAGGGTTGAATCCTGCACTATTCCATGCCTCCTGTTTTGCAGCCAAATCTGATTCTAATGAACACAGAGCCGCCATACCAAAGCATCCTAACTTTTCTTGGCAATGTCCAGCCAGAAAGTGCCCAGAGGATGACGACCCACAGCAGGGGAGCCCTGAAGCTGGTGGGTTCCTGTGATGACCCTTTCCCTTGCTCAGCCAGGACTTGGTGCCGGCAGACGAGTCCAGAACCCCTCCTGCTCCTGCTCTGCCCAGCTTCTTCCTCCCTGTTGCTTCCCGCCTCTGGTTCTGCCTTCCTTTTCTGACTGGTGGCCCCTCCGCAGTTGGCCAGGGCAGCCAGTCTTCTTGGCTGTTGTCTTGGCGTCTTTCCTCTAACCCCTGATCTGGCCCACAAGTGGACTTTGTTCCCAGTCCTGCCTCCCTTTCCTGCCCTTGCTCCCCAAATATCATGCCAGCCTTGGTCCAGCCCTGCTGGGCCCACACACCTTACCAGGAGCAGTGGTGAGGACAGTGCGGTCTGTAGCCCTGTGGGATGCAGTCCTGGGGGTGGGGCAGTGGCGTGAGGGGTGCAGGGGTGGAGCCGTGGGGGCAGTTTGGTGGTAGAGGCGGTGCAGGGAGTCCCAGTGGTGGGGTGGGGTGCAGTGCAAGGCTGTGACTTTGGCATGGATGATGTGACTTCCCTCACACTCCCGCCTCCCGCAGGTTGCTATTCCCTGGCAAGGTTGGCCAGCCTGTGGAGTGTTGCTGCCTGATACCCTTCCCCTCACCCCCTTGCCTGTCCTTCTATCTTGCTAAGAGAACCCTGATTTGCTCTGATCACCTGGTTTCTTGCAGGTGGCCCTGTGGCCACCAAGCCAATCATGGTGGCATTGGTCTTGCCAGCAACAGTTCAGGATGGGTATTGAGGTGGCTGGGGCGGACCCGAGGAGATGGGAGGAAAGCACTGCAGGGACTTTGGGGAAAGGTTTTCTCACCCATCGAAGAGACTCACAGGAAAGACACCGTCCTCCCTAAGGGTGTGTGAACATGTGCAGGCAATGTCTGGAACCAAGGGCCACCTTGGGACGTACGGGATGGAAGCCGAGCAACAAAGGCTGGGAGAGCAGACAATGGAAGGACTGAGTCCCCGATGAAGCCCCCCAGGTGCTGAGATAACCCACCTGAACCGCTTCCCCTGAAGCAGGCCCTCCTCACCGCTGTGGTGCGGGGACAAGAGTCACCAGCTGCCTGCGTCATGAGGAGGAGGGGACTCCCGGGACAGGCTGTGGGCACGCTATGCACCCAGCAGGGTTTGTTTTCCTTCCTTGAAGTGGGGGTGGCGGTGGCAAGAGAATATGGGTCCCAGATGGTCCCCACCTCACCCCGGGCACACAGAGGGCTTCAATATTATTTGTAATGTTTCTATATTTTGCACTAAAAAAGGGAAAGAGTTGAAACAATCAGGACAGAATGCGGGTGATTGTCCTTCTGTGCGGCGGGCGCACAGCTGTGCACACTTTGTTCAGCCTGCTGTTCCAAAATGAAACAAAACGAAACACAGAGGCGCCCTCCCCCCGCCCGGCGCCTGGTCTGCAGGCCTGTGGGGCCGCGTGGTGCGCAGAGTGTCCCCTGCTCTGGGTTCAGGACAGGTCCCTGGCTCAGCCCAGCGCCCTCCCCATCCGTGTCCTTGCCAGAGCTGCCAGCTCACGCTCCTCCCTGCAGCCCTTGTGCTTGGAGCAGAGGAGCAGATGGCGGCTCTGAGGGCCACCTGGGTGCCCTAGACGCTTCTCCCTTCCCTGCACCATGGAGGGCCTGTGGCCTGCCAGTGGCTCCAGGTGAGGTTGTGGAGGCGGCTGGGGGCTGAGAGCTTGGGGAGGGGGGTCCTGGTCTCCGCAGGGTGGAGGGAACCTAGGGGAAGGGTCCCCAAACAGAAACCTTCGCTTCTCTCCCGAAAGCAGCTTTGCAGCCCCCGGCTCTGCATGTGCTGGGGAAGGGGGATGCTGTCGAGAAATCCAGTAACTAGGGGTCCATCTTGATGTTTCAACTTCAAGGGATGTCCCCAGCAGGGCCCCAAAGAGCAGGCGTCAGGCCCAACACATATGCAGTGGCAGGATGCCTCGGCCCACCTCCGCCCAGTGGATCCCCCATTCCAACCAGTGTCTGGGTCCCCCTCGAGCCTTGCTGCTTGTCTCCCTGCCACTGTCAGGGCCCAGGGAGTTCTCACCCCGCCTGGGTGCTAAGTCTACGAGGGGACTCAGCAGAGGGCAACTTCAAGCCAGCTCAGAGCAGAGGGGCTCGGGGCTGGGGGTGCGGGATGGGCTCTGCAGGGCAGGGGGCGGGTGGCTCAAAGTGTGGGTGCTAGGAGGTTTGAGGAGGGTAAGTGCGTGTACAAGGAAGAAAAGGAGCTGGGTTTGTCCTCCTGTGGATCTCAGAAAGTCTCAGTGACTTGGAAGAACCACCCTGCCTTCCAGCCTCAGATTCAGCCTTTTGTAAAATGGGCCTGTGATGGAGGACGCGGGTTGTTGAAAGGAGTGTGAGTGGCCCTGGTGCTTTTATTCAGTCAGTGCCGCAGTTCCTGCCTCCGGGCAGGTTGGTCACTGGCTCTGAGTACCAGGCATTAGAGAGGCCTTGCTGCTGGCTCTAGGCATTTGCTTGGTCTCTGTTTGGGCTTATCCAGGGCCTCATGGCCACTGGGCCACCCATGCGCTGAGCAGCTCACCACCCTTAAAGCTGGCCTCTGGTGTCCCGTGTGTACCATCGTCGTCCTGAACCACCTGCTCCAGCCTGTCAGGAGTGCTGGCATCGTGCTGGCTAAGTGCTGAATGCGTGAGGGCTATTTCACTGCTGTTTCAGAACGGAAAAACCGGCAGTTCTCACTCCCATCCTCCTTGCCGGCGTCTCTGGAAGCACGAATGTGTTAACCGTGTCAGGCAAAGTTGAGATTTCTAAGCTCCACAAGCCCCGGGCCGCCCAGCCTCCACCTCCCTCCCACGTGCCTCTCTCCCCCGCCACAGCTCTCCCAAGGTCTCCAGACTTTGCAAAGCAATCATCGTGGGCTGCGTCGCCGGGGGTTTTCTTCACACTGAAATTATCCAGAGAGAAGGCGAGAGCCCCTGCGTGTCCTCTGTGGGCGTGCTTGTCAAGCGGACACTGGCGGAGTGGGCCCGTGTGTGTGGAAAACGCCCACCTTTTTGCTGCCTCACCTTGCCTCTGCGGTCTGTGGTTATAACCGAGGCCGCTGCCTGCCTGGCCGGCCACTTGGTCATTCAAGGAGCCTCTGTGGTGTCCTCAGGGCATCACAATAGCCGAGCCAAGAGTGACTTTGCTGTTGCAATAAGCAGCAAGCCAGCTGAGGTTCCCAGCCTCTTCTTCGTCCACCCACTGGCCCCAGACTCGAAAGCCCTTGTTCTTCCTGTTCGTTCAGTGACTCTCGTATTTTACATTCCTGCTCTCGGGACTCAGGAAACCAGGGAGATGCCCTATTTGTCAGGACTCATCAGGTTGCAAAGAACAAAGGATACAACTCCTGGTGGCATCAACATAAAGGAAATGTATTGGCTTATGTAAAGCAAGAGTTCAGAACTTTCAGGTAAGGCTTGATCTAGCAGCTCAAAAGACTGTCACCACAGACCCAGCTGTATTCTATCTCTCTTCATCCTTGGATCCAAATGGTGCCCCCAGCATGCCCAGACGCTCCCCTTTTGCTAGTGAAATGTCTGCCCGGACTGCAAATTCATACCCTTAGGACTCCTCACCACTCCATTCTGGGGCAGAAAGGATCAATTTCGGTAACACTAAACAGTCCTGAAATTGCCTCTTTATTGGCTAAAAGTAGATCACATGCCCCTTCCCAACCAATCCCTGTAACCAGGGGCGGGAGGTGCCGATTGACTTAAGCCAATCATGGCCACGTTAGAGTGGAGTTAGAGTCAGTTGTGGAGAGCTGAGTCTCAGTTGGCTGGAGAAAGGAGAGGTGACCAACGAATGTCCACTAGTCACCTAGCCCAGGCAATACACTGTCACTTACTGGGCTCCTGTGACATACAGGATCTATCTGCTGTGCTCCCTTATGTGCACGGTCCCATTCAATCCTCACGACAGCCCTGAGAGAAGAGCACTCTGGGCTTCATCTTGCAGCAAGGAGGCTAAGCTCCCATAGGTGCAGCCAGGTCGCCACACAGCCACTCAGCCACCGCCCCACGACTCAAAGGAAGTTAAGGTTGCTGCCCAGGTCTGGTTTTCCATTTACAGCAGGGGCTTTGTGCACGTCCGGAGCTAAAAGCCAGCATGAATTAGATCCTCAGCGTTTCCTGAACTATGCCCCCTGCCCACCCTGGAGGGCACTGGGGACTTTGGGCTTCTCATGTGAGCACCTGCGTTGTTCTGCTGAGGGCTTCTCGGGCTGTGGTCCCGTACTTTGGCCTACAGGCACTGGGCAGGCTGGAAGTGCCAGAGGTAACAGCCCTGGAGCAAATCCTCAAGTAACAAGGGGCGGGAGTGGTGGACAAACACCCTAGCTTCCTTGCCCCGCAGCAGACCAGCTCCCAGGTGCATTCTGCCCCACTGCCTGGAGGGCGCTGGCAGGCTAAGCCCCGGTGTTAACCTGCTCACTGACACCCCCACCCTGTCTCACTTCCCCATTCCTGCACATGCGTCCTGGAACCGCCTCCCGCAGAAGCCACCGGTACCCAAATGCTTGTCTCAGGGTTGACTTTGAAGCTTCAAACTAAGACAGCAAGACGGCCTGGCCCTCCTGTGTCCAGGTAACCTCTGTGTGAGTGTTCCCTGTGCTGGCTCAGGATCTGGGGGCAGGGCCAGGGGAGGAAGAGAAGGCTCAGTCGTCCAGGTCTAGCTGAGGCCATAGGCCAACATACAGTACCTGATCTGGTGTTTGAAGGACACTTCCTTACACTACCTACCTGATGCCTAAATACTCCCTACAACTTTGCTGCCCGGTCATCCCACTCCACTTGCATGCCCCTAGAGATGGGGAACTCAGTACCCTTGTCCCAACCAGCTCCATCTATAGAATCCCCTGACTGCTTGAAATGTATCAGCTACTTAATAAATAATGCATGTTGAGCTAATGTCTAAACAAAACAATTATTTTGACATCAGATCTCCAAGTGCCTCCTCTTGGAGATAGCCAGAAACACACAGTCATACTGGGAACGAAGGGAAGGCTTGCATTCAGGGTGCCTTCCATAATCGAATCTAGTGGGCCAAACCCGGCCACCGTCTGCTTTTGTCCGTCCTGCAGACTAAGAATGGTTTCTACATTTTAAAATGGTTGGAAAAAAAGAAGAATATTTTGTGGCATGTAAAATTCTATAAAAGTGAAGACCCAGTGTCCACAAACCTAGTGCTCCTGGAGCCCAGCCAAGCCCCCTGGTTCCCATCCTGTCTGTGGTCACTCTGACATCCTGGTGGCAGAGCTGGGTGTTTGAGACAGAGGTAGCTTGGCTGATGGAGCCTAAGATATTTATGATCCGGCCCTGAAAAAGTGTGCTGGCCCCTGGTCTGACTCACCCTTGCCAGCAATGGGAACCCCCCTTTACCTTTGAGGAAACTGAGGCTCAGTTGGGTCAGAAACTTGGGCAAGGATGTGAGGGGCTCCTGAGCTTAGGATGGGAAGATGACCCCAGAGGCAGGAGAGCCGTCAGCCTGCGCTCAGACCCTCGGAGAGCCGGGTCCTCCCTCCCCTGTCCTCGCTGGTCCTGCTGGGTGCCTCCATGCTGCGCAGGGTGGGTGCAATCAGAGGCTCATTGATGCGCCGGCTTTCCACGTTGGAGAATCAGTGTTGCTTTCCCAAGCAGCTGGTGAAGGCTGAGAAGTGGGTCAAGTCCCGGGAAGGGCAGCCTGTTTTTAGCTTTCATTAGGGCTTCATTCATTAATTCCTTCCTTTAATATTCCTGAGCAGCTACTCAGTTCCAGCCCCTGCCATGAGGACTGAGAACACGGGCAGGGCGCTATGGAGTCGGGATGGGGCTCCCGAGCCTGAAGGCGCCCGCAGACTGGAGTGTGGGGGGTAATTATAGAAACAAACATAAAGTGGGCGGGTGATCAGCTGGAGAAGTAGCCCCCAGCACCCACGTTCAGTGAGGCAGACCAGTGGAAGGTGAGAAGGCCCCCTGACATCTGAGCAGGCCCGTATGCGGGATGCAGGGGGAGGGAAGGCTTGCCAGGCAGAAGGACCTGCGTGTGCAAAGGTGTGGAGGTGTGAGGGTGGCAGGGACGGCTTAGGCCAGCTGACGCCTGTGTGATGTTGGGGGCTGGGGCCATGCAGGGTGAGGAGGCAGCAGAGTGGGTGGACATGGGGACTTGGGGGGGGGAGGAAAGCAGGCCCCATGTGCGGTAGGGGAAAGGGCCCGGTGACGGCTTTGGGATGGGGTCCAGGGTCAGGCCTGCCACTTAGGAAGGTCACCTTGGACCTGCAATGCGGAGTTGGTCCTGAGCCAGGCACTAGGGACGGAAGGAACAGAGGGGACAAGGGTGAGAGAGGCTTGAGTAGAGTGGGTGAGCGGGAGCTGGGCAGCAGCAGGTTGCAGGCTGGGAGGCTCCTGGGGCCCCTTGGAGTGGTTCGATGGCCTCCGAACCCAAGCACTCCTGCTCTCTGCTCCCTCCCCAGGTAGGGGCAGAGGTGGTGCTGCTGGGGTCCTCCAAAGGTGCACCCCCAGCAGCCACCTGCCCGCAGCCTCCCCACCAGGTCCCTCCTCTGCCAGGACCCCTCATCCCAGCCCTGCCACCTTGGAGAGGCTCCCCTTCTGTGCTTTGTTTTCTGGCCCACAGTATCCATGCCTTCCTAAGACCCTGCCCCTGGGGACCTGGCAGGCTC